GCCCCGCCGCGCTCGCGCTCGCGCTCGCCGGCGGCGCGGCCGTCGCGGGCGCGGCCGGGCGCGTTCTGCTCGCGCTGCGGCCGCTCGGCGGCGGCGTCGAGTTCGCGGCCACCGCCGGCCCCAGCCTCGGCGGCCCCGGCGACGTCCTCGACGCGGCCGTGTCCTCAATCATACGCACGGCCACGTCGCTCCCGGCCTGCCTGCTCGCCCTCCTCACACTCACCTCCGCCGCCGGCGCGTGGGGCGCGCTCACAAGCGCGCCGCCGGCCGGGTACCTCGACCCTGGGGTCGGCTACCTGCGGGGCCTGCTGGCGGCCGGCCTGGTTGTGCTGGCGGCGCAGGCGGCGGCGCTGATAGAGGCGGCGCAGGACGTGTGCTGGTGGACGACCGAGCAGGCGGTGAAGTACGCGTTGGTCATGCAGGACCTGGCCGAGCGCCCGCTGCCCGCCGGCGGCGACGCGCCGGCGGCGGCGGCGCAGCAGCAGCGGCCGCCGGCGAAGCAGCAGCGGCTGCCGCCGGGCGCCGCGCCGCGCGGGCTGTTTGAGGCGCTGCACCTCGGCCTCTTCGCGTCGCTGGCGATGCAGGGCGCGTGGCTGGCGCTGGGGCGGCTGGACGGGCTGCCCATCAACTCGGCAGACCCGGTTTGGGCGCTGCAGTACTGGTCTGTCATGATCGGCGCGGCCTACCTGGTCTCGGTCGTGCGGGTCCTGGACTGGGAGGCGGTCTGGGGGCTGGCCATCAACGCACTGGGCTGGGCGGGGGGCGTGCTGTCGTTCGTCCTGAGCCTCACCTTCATGGACTTTGACTGGCTGAGCGACGCGCGCCGCTGAGCGGGCGCGGCGCGGCCCGGTCGCGTGCCGGCGGCAGCGGCGCGCGTGTCGATAGACTCAGCAGGCGTGTAATGCCTTGGTGTGCTGTGTACCAACATAAAATGCCGGCTGTTTGCACGGCAGTGACAGCGCCCAAAAACTCTGGCTCCCAGAAATGGGGGCCTTTGGCTGCTGCAAGTTGGGCAGGTTGATGCGGGGACAGGACAGAGCCCGGCCGGTCGTCTGAGATTGGTCTCACCATGGCCGCACCCTGGTTTGAGCAAATCGGGGCCATATGATTGGAGATCCTGAGGTAACGGCGGCCTGCTGGAAGCTGTGCAATTGGTAACTTCTTTCATATCATTGAAAATGATGAGGGTCGGCCCAATGCAGCCATAGCAGCCTCGGGGAACATGGCCGGTATGTTCAGGTCGAGCGGGGGGATCGGCGCGCAGCACAAGGGGCAGGCAGCATATTGCAGCTGCCCACCGCCTTCAAAGAATTGACTGGGCAACAAGAATCAGCCCGCGCCTCCAATCCCGACAAGCTGCAAAAAGAATCCTGCACACATGTGCTCGACACTGACCAAACGAAAAGACAGCCGTGGCACGCGGCCTGGGGAGTGCACGCGGTGCGACGCAGCGCGTGTGCAGGCAGTAGTGGCCGCCCGCGACGCGCGCCGCGTCACGTGAGCCTGAACCGCTCCACCGCCTCCCGCGCCAGCCTCTCACAGTTGACCACAAGCTTGTCTGCGGTGCAGGATAACCATCATGCATCGAAAGCATTAGCCACTGGGTGCGTTGGGTGCAGACGTAGAGCCAGGCCGCAGCGTGTTTGCGCCAGGCCTTGCTTGCCGCAGCCCCGCAAGGTCCCCGTTGACACCCAGCTGCATCATCGAGCCCTGCACGCCACCTCTTCCGCCCCACGCCCTGGCTTGCTGCCCTCGCTCCACGGGTGTGTGTCTCCCACACCACACTCAAACACGTGCGCGCGGCCGCACCCCGGACTCACCTCCGAGCCCCCGCAAGTCGTCCACCCGCATCCACACCGCATCGCTGACATCATCACCCGCCACCGGCTGCGCGTTAGGGTCGCGCGCCATGGCAGCCACCTGGGGGTGCAGAAAACGGCGATGACATCTCGGGGTTAGAACAGGCGGGCCCGGCGTGCAGTCCCACGTCGCCGGCAACCAAAAGGAGCCGGCAGCCCAATACCAGTGCCGACATGTGCTCACACACCACAACACTCTTCTTCATACGCTGCAAATGCTGCACGGGGCACCCCAGTCCGATGAAATCGGGGCTGTGTTCGACTCGTGTATGCCCTCCTCACCTCCACCACGACGTAGTGGAACTTCACGCGCCCCCCTTCTCCCCGCACGATCGAGTCCACGGCAGCAAACGCCGTCGGCCGCCGCAGCCCCTTGCTGAAGCCCTCGCTGTCGTCGGCCGGGTCGTAGCTGCCCAGGGCGCTGACGTCAGCGGTGGCGTCACTGCTGTCGTCACCCGGGGCGGTGTCGCAGCGCAGGCTGATGCTGGCCTCCTCCAGCACCTCCCTGACAGCGCATGCCGCCAGGCTCTCACCCAGCTCGAGACTGCAGCAGAACAATGGGTGAATGTAATGCCGGGCATTTAGCACAGCATCCACTTGTCAGAAGATGATGAGGGTCGCGGCCCGCGCAACGTGCTGTCTGCTGCAGCAAACGAGAATGGGCCGCATGCCCGCTTTGACGCGACGGCCGCAGCCAGTGCCGGCCAGCCCCTGCTTTCTTGCCAGGCCCACTGGGTCCTGACGGCTGGCGATGGCGGCTCTGCAGGGTGCCCGGCCCAGCCTCACCTGCCGCCAGGAAAGCACCACAGGCCCATGGCCGGCTCCTTGGCGCGCTTCACCAGCAGCACCTGGCAGGTTGGGCGCGCAAACATTAGAATTCGGCGGGAAACTGGTCGGCTGCGGCGGCCGCGATGCCCGGCAAGCTGTGCCAAGCCGTCTCCCTTGCAACATGTGCAGCCTGGCTGCTGCACATGCCAGGAAGCCCTTGATTGGGCTTCATGCACGCCGTGTGTTGCGAGCAGACAGGCGGTGCTGCAATGGCTGAATGCATCCAATGAGCAGCCTCACAACGTGCGCGTGAACCGACCTCCGGGTTTCTGCTGTCGTGGGGCGCGCGGAACACCACCACGCCCACACCGACGCGCGGCTCATCAGGGTACATCCGGCTCCTGCCTGCAGGCTTTGCGGCTGCCGCAGGATCGCTGCCGGGCAGCTGCGTGCCGGCCGCGATGGGTGCAGCGTTAGCGGTGCTTGTGCTGACGCCTGCCGTCGCAGCCAGTGGTCCTGCCTCCATCGCTTGAAATCGGAAGCTGGTTCTTCTTCGGGAAAGCCACGCCAATGTGGACACAGGACCAGCAGGAGAACATGCTCTCGAAAAAGAGGCCAACATCCAGTCTACGGTCAGTGTACTACGGTCCTGCGTTTGTGGTCAATCAGAGACAGGCGCGCTGTGGCAATGCTCGGGTACGGACACGTACGCTGCTCACCTGGCATTTCGTGATTGCGTGGGTGATGCGATCTGAACCCAGTGACACCTTGTAACTCGTGGCGTGTGCGCGGGGCAACACGCGTCAGGAGACCCTCAACCTGGATCTAAACAAATATGCGTTGGCTCACATGGCGCATGCACTTGCGGTATGCTGTCTCACACATCCAACGCTGTGTCCTGTGCAGAGGAGCCCCTTGCACCGTGTGCTTGACATGCAGTCTCATGGTTTTTGGCCCCCTGCACCTGGCAGACGCGTGGCGATGATTACATCGCCGCAAGTGGGGCGGTAAATTGTCATGCCGACCACCGCCAATACATGGGCCTCAGGGTCGAAGCAAACACTGTCGGGCACCCAATCGACCGCCACCGAAACATAGCCGCGATCAAAACATGGCCGCCATCAAAACATGGCCGCCATCAAAATACGACCGCCATGCAAAAAAGACATCCATCCAGACATGGCCGCCATTGAAACATACCCGCTATCCAAACATGACAGCCATTCAAACATGACCGCCATCCAAAGAGAGATGCCAGCTCGATGCCCAAGCAAGAGTAGGGCTGCCTGCCCGCCCGCCGCAGCATCACTACCTGAAGGTTGTCACTGCCTGGCTAGAAAAAATTCCTAGGGGGGGGCCATCCAAAATTTGGCATCCTGCCTGTGCATATGGTGTTTGTGAGACGCATCCTTGTTTATGAGAAGCACTCGACATGCTTGATGTGGCGCGCCTGCGCTTTGGGAGCGAGCCAGGACCGCGTGCAAGTGCCGCAGGATGCAGTGCGGTTGCAAGGTCCTGGTGGTGCTGCAGTGAGCGGCACTCCCTTGAGGTTTCCAAAGCAGGCAGGTTGACCAGATACTGTCGGCAATTCGGGCCGTGGAGCAAAGTTTATTCGTGCTTGTGTGCCGAGTCCTCGTTTTAAGCATCAAATGAATGGCGCTGTTGTTCAAGTTGATGTGTGCAGCCAGGTGAGTCCCAGGTGGGCTCTGGAATGCAGCAGAGATGGGTGAGGACAAAGGTGCAAGCATGGTGACAACGTGTGAGGGGAAGGGATCCACAAAATGCATCCCAGAGGAGTCAAAGATTCAAGAAAGCAGTGGTGCGGCTGCTGGTGAGAGGGTGCGCAGTCATGAAAGGGCTGGATGTTCCTAGCAGTGCCTGTGCGCAGCCATGAAAGGGCTGGAAGTTCCTAGCAGTGCGTGTGCAGCCCATTTGGGTTGCAGGGGGGGGGCATCTCTGGTGCGGCAGAGTGGGTGTTGAAGAAGGGCTCACAAGGAACCGCTCAGCGGCTGCCCGCGTCAAATCCTTGGCAACCCCTGGAGGGCACGTGCGATTGCACAGTACTGGCATGCAAAGGGTTCGCGAGCGGCGCCACAGGCCCGCCGCTGCAGAGGTGTCACGAGTTGGGGTTGGCGTATGCTCGTTCGCATTGGTGACGAGTCGCGTAGAGTGGTTGGGGGACGGCGCGCCGTCTTGCCGGTGGTGGTTTCTCAGAGGAAGCACTCTGAATCTCTTGGGGGTGCCCGCATCGTCCCAGCAGGACGTGGTCCAGGCCTCAGGCATTTTCATGTCGTGGGAACCATGGCGCGCTGACAAGGCGCCCAGCCCTACAGCTGCAGCTCCTCCGCCAGGCGCTCGTCCAGTTTCAGCAGGGCCACCTGTGCAGCCGCACGGATGGCCGCGCCCACGACCGCCGGGCCGCCGCCGCCGCCGGGGCTGCGCTCGGCGACCTTGGTCGGCGAGGGCGGCGCCGCCACGGCGAACTTGGCTGGCGAGCTCCGCGCCGCCGCGGCGGGCGCCTGGTCCGCGCCGTCGCTGGCGCTGTCCCACGACGCGCGTGGCGCGCCGGGGGCCCGCTGCTGCGCCGCCGCGCCCGCCGCCGCGGCGGCCGCCTGCTGCAGCGCCCCGCGCTTCCAGGACCCGCGAAGGCCCGAGGCGTCTGCCACCGCCAGCTTGGCGAACCAGCCAGCCGACCGCGCCTCGACCGCCTGCAGCTGCTGCGGCGTCAGGGAGCCCAGCAGCGGCCGCGTGACCTCATCCGCGACCTGGGGTCGAGGGTGCAGGAGGCGGGCGTGTCAGGTGTGAGTGGCCACACTGTGCAACGTCGAACGGCCCCGTCACGGGCGCGAGTGGCAGGGCTGGGGAAGGTCTCCCTGGCCGGGCGCCTGCAGAGCCGAGCACGGGCGCGGCGAGCGAGCGGGGGGCGCGCCGAGCGACAAGGGGGACGGGGCCGGTGTCATCTGCTGCCCGCACCTCGGTGGCGGCGGCGCTGAGGACGTCGCGGACCAGGTGCTTGGGCACGCGGGCGTCCCGCTCCGCCGCGGTCTGGGAGGTGGAGGGGCGACGGGCGGCGGAGGTTTGCATGCAGGCACACATAACGGTACGCTAGCGCTCGCGGGGCAGCCCGTTATAGAAAATCCAGCCGCGCTGCAGCAACGTGCGGCCACAGTAAGCGCCGCGCCCCTGGTGTAGATCGCTGGCGCGGCGCCGCCCAGGGTGTGCGGGCCCACCTTCTTGACCTCCTCTAGCAGCGCCGCGCAGCGCCCCTCCGCCTCCGCCAGCAACGCCCTGAGCGCCGCGCAGGCGGCCGCCTCGGCGCCGCCCGCCTTGAGGCGCCGGATCTCGCCCGCCCGCGCCTCCAGCGCCTTGTTCAGCGTAATGATGGTGGCGTCGCGCTCCTTCAGCTCCGCCTCGGACGCCGCCAGCTGATCGGGTTGCGTTTGAATGCACGGGATCGTGTTTGTGTTAAGGAGGAGTGATGAGAGGTGGCGGGTTGCACGATGCGATCAACGCATGCTGTGATGTCGCCCTATTGCCAGGCAGGCGTCGCGGTGCGCCCAAGACATGCGCAAGGGGACGGCCGAGGCGCACAGCCGCGCGTGTGGCGCACCTGGTCTCGGATGGCGGCCGCCTCGCCCACGGCGCGGCGCACGGCGTTGGCGGGGGCGCCCTGCGTGCAGCGTGGGGCGGCGCGCGCGTCGTGATCGGCCTCCATCGGGTGACGCCTGAGCAAGCCAGGGCCACCCTCTTGCATCCGGTCTCGCGACGATGACAAGGCATCTTAAGAGGCGGGAGATAGCCAGCAACATGGGTTTTAAAATCGCACAGCGAGGCGACAATATGCTGGCGCGGCAACCATGGCGATCGGCGGCAACGCGCGCACCTTGACGCGCGGCTCCTCGGCCGCTGCCACCGCCTCCGCCGCCGCCAGCGTGGCCGCCTTGGCGCGGGCCTTGAGGTCGACGTTCTCCGCCTGCGCGTCCGCCAGCAGGCGCTCCAGCTTCTGTTTGGCCGCCTCGAGGGACGCCACCTCCTGGTGGGCGGCCGGGTCCGCCTTGGCCAGCTGAAGGGGGGGCGGCCGTGGCAGGGGCGTCGCGTGAGCGTGTGTGGATGATTGAGGGCACTTTGGGGGGCCGGAACGTGCTGTGGACCAGGCGCCCAAGGACGGACGGCGCAATGTGCGGCGTACAGGCTGCCGAAAGCCGAGGTTGAGCACTTGCTGCGGGGCCCTCCATGCACACCCTCACCTGCCCGCGCAGCTGCGCCACGGTGAACTGCGAGGGGCAGGGCGCGGCGAGGGGGCAACACCATTAAGTGGGTGCAGGAAAGCTGCGCCACTGAAAGCACTGTGCGGACTGGGCCACCGCGGAGGGTTAGCCGCATAAATGCAGCAGGCGCCAAATGGCTCGCGGCTGCGCACAGCGTGTGAGCGCTCCGCCGCCCCCTCTCCTGTTTGTGTCGCACACCTTGAGCTTCCAGGTCTCCTCCGACTGTTTGAGCCCCGCCGCCTGGTCCGCCTGCTGCTGCTCAGCCTGCTCGGCCTGCGCCTGCCGCCAGAGGCGCGCCTCCTCGGCGCTCTCCTAGTGGTGGTGTCCGGGGGGAGAGGGGGGCGAGGGTGGGGCCGGGACCGGGCACGGGGAATGGTTGACCAGTGGCAAGCCTTGCACGCTCCCCTGGCACGGGTGCGCCTTGATCGCCGCACGGCTGAGGCCAGGCGCAGGCCCTAGAGTAGCAGCGGGACGCGAAGTGCAACGAGCGCGAACGCATGCAAGAGCCGACAAGCACGGGCGAGCCGCTGGGCGTCCGCCGATGCTCTCACCTCCACCTGCTCCTCTAGCTGCAGAGGTCCCGCCGCGATCATGTGCAGCGGGCGAGCGTGGATGAGGGGGTGTCAGCTGCAGCAGGCGTGACAGGAGGCAGGCGTGCTGCTTGATGAAGGCGCGTTTGACCTGAAATGCTGCTTTGAGCCACCCCCAGCGCACAGGCCCAGCACCTACGCACCTTGCGCTTCTCGGCCTCGAGGCGCTCGGCCTTCTGTAAGGCGCCATCCCTCTCCCGGCGCGCCGCCTGCTCAGACTGCTGCCTGCTGCGGGCTGCCGCCTCGGCCTGCGTGGGACGGCATGCCGCAGTGCGAGCTCGAAGCCCACCGAGCGCGGGAGCTGTGGGCAAGAGATGCCAGCCAAGGGCTGCAGCACGAAATGCAGGCATCATCCAGGCCGTGCACGCTCGCCGACAATCCCAATGCCTCCGCGCGCGCGCCACCCCTAGTTCTTGCACTCACGTCTGTGAGCTTCCTGTGCATGGCGGCCACCTGCTCCCCCGCCTGCGCCTGCAGGTGCTGCTGCTGCCCCCGCAGGGACCGCAGCTGGGCCTCCGTCTTCTTAAGGGAGGCAGCAATCTTGGTTTTCTCCTCCTGGCGGGGTAGAGTTCAAGGGCGTCGCCGGCGGCACGGGGTTGATGGCGGCGACAAGAGAAGGACAGGCGGAAGGTGTGCTGTCAAGAATGAGCCAGAGATGCCTCGGCTGCCGGCGCCACGCGCCGCCGGGCGCCTTGTCAGACGGCCGAGGCCGCCGCAGACCGATGGCGTAACCCACAGGCGCCAAGCGGGACCCAGCCCACGCGTGGGCGCACCTCTAGGGCGCTATTGGTGTGCCCCATTGTCTGCAGCATTGTCTGCGTGGTCGCGAGGGACTCCCTGATCTTGCCAATTGTTGAGTCGAGGTGGGAAATGTGCGCTGAGGCTCCTTGCAGGCGCTCTGTCGACTCTTCCTGCGCGCGCGCGCGCGCGCATGTGTGTGTGTGTGTGTGTGTGTCACGACGCAAGGGGCGAGCGGTTTAAGACGGACTGCTCGCTGCAAGCCGGGGCGCTGCAGCCAGCCCAAAGCTGCAGCGGCGCAACGCCAATCGCCACTCCAGGCATGGCCCGCTGGCCCCTGAAAAGCGCGTGAATGGTGCCCGTGAGTGTGCTAGCGCACCTGCAGGGCCCCGGTGATGGACTTGTGTGTCACCTCCTCCGCCATCAAGTCCATTCGCGCCTCGTACAGCTCGTCCTGGGGCACAAGGTTGGGGTTTTAGACTTTAGTTGTCAAGCAAGGGGGGCAGGACGTGTCAGGGGTGATGCACGGAGGATGAGCGCCAAGCAGGGCGCGACTCAGATCAGCCAGGGAGTTGGGGGCATCATCCCAGCGGGTGACCCTGGTATGCAGGGCACACGAGGGATTGCAGCAGACTCATCAGGCTCAGGGGCAGCGGCGCGGCCAGGCAAGGGCCCCAGCTGTGTTGAGCAGGAAGACCCTGCCTGGTCATCGCAAGCACGCCTGCACACCCGAATAAGTATCGCAGAGCCCGCACACCTCCAAATTTGCAACCTGGGCCGTTGAGGCTGCCAGGGCTCCTGCCGCGGCCGCGCTGTCGCGCTGCAGGATTGGGAGCAGCAGTGGGACATTGATCCGGGCTGCAAGCCTACGGGGTGGAGCGTTTTAGACTTGGTGTGCCTGCCAGTGCAGCAGGCCCCAGCAGGGTGAGGTGCCACACAACAGAGCAGGGCACAGGCGGGCCTCGGACCTGCAGCCGCTCCACCTCCGATCGCAGGTGAGCAACAGCGGCACCGGCCTCTTCGCGCTCCGCCGCCAGCTGCGCCTTTACCATGAAGCGCACCGCAGGGCGGGAGGGCCAGTCGGTGTGAGGGTCTCCAGAAATTTTGTATTGCATGCACAAGGAGCAAGCCCCTGCTGCACAAATCCCAACATGAACGGCGCAGCAGCGACACCAACCTGCAGCTCCCCCGCCTGGCTGTTGGCGGCAGCCGCCGCCTCCTCCGCGGCTGCAACGCGCGCCGTGGCGGCGTCCAGCGCGGCCTGCGGCGTTTTGGAAGCATCGCCAGAGTTGACTCGTTGGTAGAGGTCAGGCGCGCCGATTGTTGTGTTGGCTGGAGCGCGGAGGTGGGTGTGCTAAGAGCCAAGCAGCAGACGAGCGTGGCGAGCGGCCGCCGACCCAGATATGCAAGTTCCCTGCCCACCAGGCTTGCTTCAGCTGCAGAGTCTAGGGTGGTGGCAGCACCGGCGCCGCACCTGAGCCTGGCGCAGGCCGGCCGCGAGTCGCTCGCACTGCGCCGCAGCGTTGTGGTTTTGACTCTTCTCGTCAACCAGCTTGTTCCTCATGTACGCCAGCTGGCCCTGCCATGAAAGAGGGTGCGATGCGTGAAAGCACCCACTGGTCGGTTTGTGGTCAGGGTGACATCTGCTGTTTAGGGAGCGAACGGTTAACCGCGGCAGCGGAAGCTGTGCTGAAGTGAAGCATTGGACTTGAGACCGCTCTGCACGACGGCATCAATAACACAAGCCATGCGTTCAACACACAAACATAATGTGATATTATACACCATCCCTGGGGATGACACCCAGCGGCCTTGTCACCGCCAGCTCAGCCAAGCAGCATTGCCTTGCACGAGCATATCAAAAACCCCACGTGGTTGGCGCGCCACAGGCACGCAAGACAACGGATGGACCACCTGCTGGGCGTCCAGCTGCGACTGCATCATTCTGACCTCGCTGGCGCGCCAGTCCTGGGGGATTTACAGGCATGGAAGCGCGTAGGAGATCAGCCATGGGGCACGGTGCAGCCTCGGGCCAGGACGTGTGGGGGTATGCATGAGAAGACTCAGCAGAGAGAGCGCGAGTTGGATCACGCAGGCATCTCATGGCAACGCGGCCATAGGTGAGGCTGTTGTGCGGACTTCACGGTGCCTTGCAGCACACTCGTTGCTTGCGGGACCGGGATGGTGGGCAGGCAAGGTCCCCTAATGTGTTGAGAGAGGAGCAACGACCCCCTTCAGGAGCCACCCACAACCCACAAAGCAGAGCCTGCCCACCTTCAGCGTCTTGATCTCTACCTCGCGGGCGTCGATCACTTTCAAGTAGGCCACGCCTTGTTTCTGCAAGGTACAAGCAAAAGTGGAGTATTGCTAACGGCTGTGATCACCCAGGTGGCGTCTTGCTGGACCCTGAGCGGCTGGCCGCACAGCAGTCCCACGACAGGCGGCACGACAGCACGAAGCGCAGGTGAGTGCCGCACCTGGAGGCGCTCCACTTGGGACTTCAGGGCAGCGACAGCCGCGCCTGCCTCTGCCCGCTCCGTTGTCAGCTGCGCCTGTGCCGCAGACCAAATCCCAGTGCGAGACATCCGCTTGGTGTAAGTGCCGTAAAAAGCACTGCCTGAACAGTCAGCAAGACCTTGCCGCATGCGTGACCCCATGCATGCACGAGGAAGCCCCCACACTTGCCGCATGCATGACCCCATGCATGCACGACGAAGCACCCACACTTGCCGCATGCGTGACCCCATGCATGCACGACGAAGCACCCACACTAACCTGCAGCTGCCCCGCCTCGCCGCTGGCGTCGGCCGCCTCCTTCTCCACCGCGGTCACGCGCATCTTGGCGTCATCGAGGGCCGCCTGTGAACACCACACCGTTGGCGGCGTAGCATCTTCGTGCCTGCCTGATTTCCGCTGCTGTCAGGCCTTGCCCACCCACGCGCACAGCCCAGGGTATGGGGCGCCCCTTGCTACTTCACCAGGGTGGCCCGACTGGATTGAGGCTGTGTGGTGCCAGGTGGCCGGCCCCCAAGCTGGTGCCCACCTGGACACTGACCAGCTCGTCTTTTGTTGTGACGGCCAGCCGAAATGCGCGGTCCTGCTCCGCCTGAGACAAAGGCAACAACAAAATGGGGTGGGGGTGCAGCATGCGGGGCAAAGGCCATGGGCGGAGCATGTGCTCAGAATGAGCCCCTGCTTGCGCACAATGCTGTTGGACCTACTAGCCTGCATCACTGCTAAAGATTATTGCTAGCCTGCATCACTGGCACGGCCCGCTGGGGTGGCGACGGCAAAGCCGCACCTGAGCTTTCAGCAGGCGGGTCGTCAGCAGCTGGCACTGCTCCTTGGCCTCGTGGTGCTGCGCGTGGATGCTGGCCAGGGCGTCCCCCATGCCTGCCAGCTCGCCCTGCCCAGACAAGGGTGTGATGCGTCACGGCAGTCAGTCAGCAGTGGGCGTCGTGCACGACGCGGCCGTGCGGGAAGCGAAGGGGCCGCGGCAGCAACGGGAGCTGTGCTGGAGTGAAGCGATGAGCACCGGGGCTGCTCTTTTACTTCCTGCACCACAAACGCAGCACGCTAGCAGTGGAATTCAAGTTGGGAATTCAACCAGCCTTGGGCCTGGCCCCAGCTCTCAGGTCACCCACCCCTGCCTGACTCGGGCACGTCAGCGTTTCTCCTCTGCTTGGAGTGCTTTGGCGCGAAAGCTGGCCGCTCAATCTCACCTCCTTGTCCCCCAGCAGCGCCCGCAGCGTATGGATCTCGTCGGCGCGCTGGCTGGCGGCGGTTGCGGCTTGGTCCAGAAGATCCTGCGCATGAGGAGGGCGTAAAAGCAAACGATTGTACCGTGATACGCGGCGGCGATGGCAGGTGAGGTTTGAAACATGCCGACAGATGGGCGCAGCAGCATGGGAGGGGCGTCCTGCAAATCAGATTTTGCAAAGGATTTCGTCCTTGAACTGCCTCAAAACCCCACCATTGATCTGCCCAAATTCACACCTCCTTGATCATCATCTCCTGCTGCAGCTCGGCAAGTGCGGCACGGGCGCTGGCAGCCTCGCGCAGCGCCTGCTCCAGAGCCTCCTGCAAGTTGAAGCAAACGGTGCAAGGGCTAAGAATGCAAGAGGAGCAGGGCAAAAGCGCGGCCATGTAGGCAGTGTGTCATCTGAAAGTGTTTGTGTGCCTGGACTGTGACCACCACCACCTGCAGCGAGCAGGCAACCTTAAAGATTTGCGGATGCCTGCAGGGCCACGACAGCAGCGGCGCACCTGCTGCCGCTTGAGCTTGCCCTCCACATCTGTGAGCTTGATGCGCGCCAAATCGCGGGTGGCCACGGCCATGTCAACGCGGTCCTAGGGATAGAGCGGGGTGGGAAACGGTGTGGGTCGAGGGGCCATTGATGTGCGCCGGGCAAATCTGCTACCTTGCACCTTGCATTCTGCAGGAACAAGTTGAGAACAGGCGGCAGACAGCTGAGTGCGTTGCCGTCTTTACCTCGAGGGCCGTCGTGGCTGCGTGCGCCTCGTCGCGCTGCAGGGCCATGCGCTGGAGGTGCTCCTGCAGGTGGAGATTGGCGGGTTTTCAATGGGTTTGCCAGAATGGTTGTGGGGTCCATGTCGGCTGCAATCGTTGCCTGAGTGCGGTTGCTGTACCTGGTAGGGTGCGCATCATGAATCCCTACACAAGCAACTTGCGCTGCAGCTGCTCGACAGGCATCATCACTACTGCATGGCTTGGATGTTGCCGTGCTCGCACCTGCATGCTGCGGAGCTGCTCGCGGCTTGCGTCACGGTCACGCACAGCGCTCTTGGTCTCGTCCGTGGCCGCAGCATGCTGGGCCTGATGAAACGGGGTGCATGGTGCAGGGGCAGGCAAGCGGGCTGGTCGGCGTGCGTGGTCGAAGAAAGGGCAGGCTTGGAGCGTCTGTGGTACGAGCAGCTCAGGTAGGCAGACTCCTCATGCGGCGGGCAGGGCAGTTTCTGGCCCCATGCGGGCTTCATCAGCCCACCTGCAGCCTGCGCAGCTGCAGCTCCAGAGCGCGCGTCGCAGTGGAGTGGTTCCTTGTGGCGCGGTGCAGCTCGTCCTGTTGTGAAATTGATTGCGATTGCATCAACACAAGGGAATGCTGCCAGCAGCAACATCAACGCTTGCTGCTGAGATGTCGTATGAGGGTCTTCTGAATTCACACCTGCACAGCCTCGAGCTCTTGTTGCAGCGTCTGCGCCGCTGTGTCCGCCTGCTCCGCCCTACTCTCCGTCTGCGCCAGGGCCTCCTGAGCGTTCAAGTGTTGAGGGAATCGACTGTGGTGAGTCGGTGCTTTGGGTCATCATCGTAAGCGAGATGGAACCAAGTGAGGGTATCGCACTCGTCGCACAGACTTGGCAGCGTAGATGATGCTATTTGGGGCGGGGAGGCGTGCGGCAGTGATGCGCGCATGCAGAAGCGCGCCGCAGAAGCTACCTGGGCGCCCCTCAGCTCGGCGACCGCCTGAGCGGCTTTGTCCTTGGCCGCGGTGCAGGCAGACTTCGCACCATCCAGCTGTAAAGGGGGGTGGCAGTGTGGCAAAGATCGGGGGTGGCAATCAAAGATTGTTGCCAGTTGCCTGCAGACTAAGTGTGTGCTCGGCAGGCGTTCCAAGCTTCTGATACCCCCTGATCACACCTCAGCGATGAGGCCGTCCACCGTCTCCTGCGTCAACGGGTGGTGAGGCGTCGGGGGGGGGGGGATGGTCAGGGCGCAATTAACTTGGTGGTGTACGAGTTTCAAATGCACAATCAGGACCATGCCAGAATCTTTCTTACGCCCGTGGCAGCAAGCTCGCATGTTGGTACACCCTGATACCTGGGCACGGGTGAGGTCCTGGTGGAATCGCGTCGCCCTGGCCTCGGAGGCTGCGTAAGCCGTCTTGAAGCCGTCTACCTGTGAAAAGCGGGGTTCAAAGCGGCCGGGGCAACTGGGCCAAGACTAAGGCACGTCGAAGGTATGATAGGTGGAAAATTCCTTGGCATGTGGCATTCACAGTAGAGCAAGAGCATCCATCCTTGCGACCTGCGTCAAATGATCAAATCTCATCACCTGCGCCAGCAGCTCCTTGACGAATTCCTGCAGATTGCAGGATGTATGTTGCCATCTCAAGTTGCAGGCGTAACAGCGCACAAGGTGATCGTGACGAATACGTGCAAGGCGCCGAGCGGCCAACGAAGGCAGTGGCATGGCCGCAACAAAGCAAGTCCACTGGTTGGCACTCACAGCAGTTAACGCCCTCTGCTCCTCGGCCTCGGCTTGGTCTTCTTTGTGTTTCTTTGCGGAACTGCGAGGGGATACAGATGAGCGAGAAAGGACGAGCAGCATCATGGGCGAGGCCAGTGGAATAGACTTACATGCTGCGCCAGCTTGTTCGTAAAAAGACGTAGCTTGACAGCAAGTCCATTCTGGTGTCGGGACATGGCTGCCCAGCTTTGCAACGGGCTGCGCGCGCTCAAGAGCAGGGCATCACAGCTTCACAAAATTCATAAACGTACGCAAAGCTCGCGCGGATTACATGTGTTAACAAACTATCTTGGAAGTGTTCGCCGGTCGCGGAATGCCGCTTTGAGGTAACGGCAAAATTCAAACCAGAAGCTGCTGCAGCGATCTGAGGAGAGAAGACTGTGAAGCTGCCGAAGACTGTGGAGCTGACCAGGCGTATTGCGTGTCAATTAATGCCACAGAGGCAATTTGCCCGCCAGCAGCGCTGCATGCGCATAGCGGTTGCCATATAAGAAATTCTGTCGACTTCTCGCACGCCCGCCCCCCAGCGCCGCCCGGCCCCCCCGGCCGCTCCCGGTCTATTGCCGGGTGGGTTCGCAGAGACACACGCGTTGAATTTGGCGGGGGTGGCGGGGCGCGGCCGCGGGCGGGGCGCGTCGGCCCGATGCGGCGTCCCGCCGCTGTACTGACAGGCGCGCGAATCGCGACAGGCGGGCGGACAGCGCCGATCATCCATATGCTGTCGGGCTGCGTTCGTGAGTCTTTTCGCCCATTTTGTCGTTTGTAAATCGATGTGAACAACTGCATACATGTCGGTGCCGTAGCACGTGGTCATCCGAGTCAGCCGTGCGTTGCTGCATATACATCAGCTAGGCCTATGTTGGAGCGGCTACAGTCTTGGGGATCAATGGCGCAAATGTTTCCGCGATCTCGGCTTCTATAGACCTCGGCTGGGCCCTCCACAATCAATTGTGGCAGCAGCCCACAATGAGAGCAATAGCATAAGCAATTGTGGGAGCAGCCCATAATGAGACCACTCTGTGTGTGTGTGTGTGTGTGTGTGTGTGTGTGTGTGTGTGTGTGTGTGTGTGTGTGTGTGTGTGTGTGTGTGCCCCTGTGCCGTGTCTCTCATGATCGGCAACCACTGGTACAATTGTGGTTTCCAGTCCATGGTGGCAGGAAGAGAAAAGCTTTATTTTCAAGGGGTTGGTGCTGCAATGACCAGGGCTGCATGCAAGCGCTTTCATCGATTAGAGCTGGCGTGACAGGTGCAAGCGCGTGGCAAGTAGCGTAACTCTTGATAACACTGCCAGCTGAGCCAACACTTGTTCTACATACTGTACAGTATGCTGCTGAATAGCCTGGGCAAACCCAACTCGCAACCCACAGGACCGTATGAGATTGTCGCCTGCAGATGTGCCCTTCCACCCTAAACGCATGGATGAAATGGAACAGTGTATGTAGATAAGATGGGCAACGTCTGACAGTTCTGCTAATGGAAGAAGCTCATGATCCTGACTCTCAACGTGTGTGGTAAGTGGTATCAGTGAAATTGTTGTGCCTGGTGTCAGGCGCGCCTCGCGGCGGCGGACCCAGTACGGGCCCATGCCCGCCCGCCAAGGTTTGCTGGCCCGCAGCACGCAACCGGGCGCTTGATGCAGGCAGGGCAGCGAAAAGATGCGAAGCGTGAATGGGTAAGGCAGGCGACATATAGTACATGGGGCAGTCTACCAGCACGTGTGCTATGACGTGCGTCTAGGTATGAGCAGGACATTTGGGTCAGCAGGTAGGTCTTAGATTGGCGTTGATGCTGCAGCGTGTCGCTGCTCGGCAGGGTGAGCCTTCATTTGCCACGCCCACGCTTACGAGTTGAGACAGCACGCGTCTATCAACGACACATTCAAACAGTCTGGTGGATCGTCTGTAAGTAGTAACCTGCCAGACAATAATAATATGATGCTATCCACAGTATCACCTCCATGCCTAAGTATCCAAGCAAGTGCGCATGGTATGCTGCCCAAACAGCGAGCAGCCTTTGCAAGTTGTAGGTCAGCCGCCCTCGCCCCTGGCGGCGCATCGCGCGGGCCAGTGTTGGTCTCCCTGTACTGTACAATGACCGCCACCAGAGGCAATGGTAGTTGAACCCGGGCACAGCACCCCGGCAGACCAGCAGTGCATCTCTCGACATGGCCACTTGGCTGCGTTGGGTCGGTTCGCGTTCATACTGTACCGCAAAGCGCCTCTTCAAATCAATAAGCACTGCCGCAGATCGTCTGCAGTGGGGTGGCTGGGCACTTCTGCGTGGGGCAAACACCAGCAGGAGACTGTCACATGCGCGTGCCGTCGGGTTGCACCTGGCAGGCGGAACGGTGGGCATGAAGCTGAGAAGCCGCCAACTCATTATCCATACCGGTGTTTCGTTGAGCAAGCCACACTGCTGTCATACGCGTCGTGTGGAATTGCTTTAAGCTATTTCCACAGCATTCAACCCGCATATGGTACAGTATAGCGGATTTCGTGCAATCGCGGTTCTCAAGGCAGTTTCCGCAGCACTCTTGCGTTCAAGCCTTTATGGCACATGGAATACACAATAAATATTATGCCTTGAAGAAATAATATGGAGGACAAACACCGCTGCAGGTGCGGGTCGAAGAGGCAAAGCTTGCCAAACAGTGCTTCTGAGTGCTTGGTCATTTCGAGGAAATGTGAATGTGTAACCGGAAATTTTGCGCCCAAAACGTATGCAGGCTTTCCTTGGACCAGGATTGCCGCAGCGCCAACTCGGCATGGGCAGTGCGCAGCGCGACATCCAGCGCGCCGATGGATATGCACATGAACAGAGAACTGATTCAGGCAAAAGAAATTAGCAGGTGAGCTGCAACGAGCCACAATACATGTCATATGAGTGCATAAACACTCGGACTGACCCAGGGGCCCTGGAGTCCTAGCATGGACGCGGTGCAGAGTGCAGTGGCAAGCCGGCACTTTACATGCTCATTGAGTTTGTGCCACCTATACTCAACTCCAGATGCGCATCCAAGCCGCGATGGAATGCCAGCACAAGGATTTCTGACAGCAGCAGCACCGGTGGGAAGCGACCCGTCACCGGTCGCTCTCACAGTGCCCCTGGCATCGCTCTGCGCGGTAAGCAGCAGCTCAGCCTCCCAGCGCCGTCACCAGTAGCGACCTCTACAAACACGACCCCAACCAAGAGCAGCGCCTCCTCTGCCACGAGCAGCGCACGCGACGTCCAGGACACCTCCGCTGCCGACACGCCGCCTGACACTCCGACACAGCAGCACCTCAGCAGCCCTGAGCCGGCGCCGCCGTGCGCCGATGGCGCTGGGCAGGCCGCCGATCCCGTGCCTGTGCAGCCAGCCCCTGTACCACGCCACAGGGACTTAAAGATACACTTTTACGTGTCAAATCCAGGAGAGGCGTTCGATAGGGGCGCTCCCTTGGGATGTGGTGGCGAGGGAGAGGTGCGGCGTGTCGATATGCTCGGCCACCACTACGCCATGAAGCGCGAGCCCGCCGGCTCCAGCAACGACAGCCTCGTGAGGAAGGTCGAGGGCGAGTGGGTCCAGAAGCCCATCACTTACACGACGGTCGGCGGCATGCTTTACAGCCTGTATGACCTGGCGGCGGGCGACCTGGGTGACGCGCTGCACGGCCACAGGCTCTCCTTCTCATCAGCAAACGCATGTGGAGACTCGGGCATCTCTGGGTCGGCGGTGGCGCCACCCTCCTTAAACGACCCGCAGCAGCAGCCGGCCGCAGTGGCAGCAGGGGCGGCCCAGCACGATCAGGAGGCTCCCACCAAGCGCGCCCCCTTCCAGCACCGCCTCAAGGCTCTTTTCAAGCTCGACGATAAGAAGCCGCAGACGCAGCCATCCAAGCAGCCGCAGCCGTCGCCGCAGCCGCAGCCGCAGCCGCAGCCGCAGCCGTCGCCGCAGCCGCAGCCGCAGCCACAGCCGTCAGCCGGCAACCTGCTGCCCACCGCCACCGCCAAGGCCCTCGCAGCCGAGCTCGTCACCGCCGTCGGCACCGTGCACGAAGCCGGCATCGTCCACCTCGACCTGAAAGCTGAGAACTTCCTGGTGGCAGCCGACGGCCACCTGCGGCTCGGCGACTTTGGCTGCGCGGCGCGGGCCTGCCAGCCTGCGCTGGGCGCCAGCGGCACGCCCTTCTTCATGGCGCCGGAGCAGCACACCGACCTTGACGGCTTCTGGCGCCGCCTCGGCGCCAACATCCGCAAGGAGCTGCAGGACTTTGCCTTCCTCCTGGGCTTCAAGTTCAACAGCCGCCCCGCCGACGTGTGGGCGCTGGGCGCAACCCTCTTGACAGCGCTCCTGCCGTTCCCCGAGGCAGAGGCGGCCCTGGCAGCCGCGCGCGCCGGCAAGAAGTGGGTCCCCGCCCCCGGCTCTGCCGGCGCCGCGCTGCCGGCCGACCTGTGGGACCTGCTGTTCAGCTGCATGCTGGCGCGGCGCCCCGGCCGGCGGCTGACGGTGCGGCACCTCAAGGGCCACGCCTTCTTCGCCGGCGTGGACTGGGCGGCCGTCGAGGCGCGGACTGTGCCGCTGCCCATCGACCTCGTGGCGCTGGCAAAGATCGGCCGCGAGGCGGCCGCCGCCGCCGCCGATGACGCCGGTGCTGGCGCGGACCCCGTCGCGTGATACAGCTCACGCGGGCATCTGTCTACAGACCGTGTACCACACCAGCTGGCAGTCCCCGTTGTCGCAAGTTCCAAGAATCTCTCAGGCCCCAGAACGACCGAGTATCGTGCAACAAACGCCGCCTCGACGCATCACGAACACAATGAGCCGACCCAAGTCCAACCGACCCAGGCGCCGTCCCAGAACGCCCAGACTCCAGCGCCTCAAAATGACAGAGACCGTGGCTGCCCTCACGGGTGGCAACGCAAGCCGGCCTGCAGTTGGGATGCCCATGCAAGCGTCTCTACCGCTGCGGCTGGCGCCCACTGCTGCCTACCGGCAGGGCGAATGACGATGTCCCGCCCCAGGCAAGGCCGTCGCGTGCTGCCTCAAGATGGCTCTCCCGACGCTGGACAGCAGCCCAGTATTTGCAACAACATGCCAAGCGCCCAGGAGCTGGCTGTGCTCATCAACAGGCAACAGCTACCTGGCGCAGCCCAAGACTCGACTACAACGGCAACAACGGCAACAACAGCAAAAGCAGCAACGGCGCAAAAAACAACAACAGCAACAACAGCAACAACAGCATCAACAGCCACAACGGCAACAATGGCAACAGCAGCAACAGCAGCAACAGCGACAACAACAGCAGCAGCAGCAGCAGCAGCAGCAGCAGCAGCAGCAGCAGCAGCAGCAACAGCAGCAACAGCAGCAACAGCGCCATCAACAAGCATCGAACCAAGATCTGACAACCCTGTTGTCCAAACCTACCTGATCCACGAGAAGAAGACTCCGACGCCGACTCAAGAGGTTCAACAGGCTCCGGGCCCCAGCCCGTCGAGCCTTTACCTCTCAGTTGCGCCACACTCATCTGACTCCCCCACAAGTCGGCAACGCCGCTGCAGCAGCCCAAGAGCGCCGCTGTGCAAGCTGCTACCTGTTCACAAGGCAACGACAAAGCTGAAGCCGTTGCCTCTAAAGCTGCAGGCGCAAGCCCAAGAACGACATGGCGCCAGCCCTTTCTGGGCTTAAGACGGACTCCCTGCAGCTCACACGTTGGCCCGCCCATACACTCTCGCCAACGACTTGAAGGTCACAGACCCTTCAAGGACAAACACCAATTGCCAGAGGCTCTGCCCCTCCAATTAAGAACAGCCATCCAAACAAGCCGCCACCACTTCGGGAGCGGCCATTTGGATGGGTCGGCTACTCCACAGCGCTACGGGATTCGAGGTGTGCATGCGATAATCATGCACAAACCGGCACCATCTGCCTTTGAGTCTTGCGCCTTGACTATCAAGATGTGTCTTCCCACATGCTGCGCGCCGCGGCTGTGCACAGCTTTGCCAAAACCGTGGATGTTACATGGTTTCAGCTGTCCCCTTGGACATATGCGCATGCTTGCGCGGCCTTGCTTGCCTTATTGGGCAACTTCCTCTGGGGTTTGCGCCGATCTGGGCGCATACACTATATCGCATGCAGTCCGTTGCACAAATCCTGGCAGCAACACGGACCCCAATGGGTAGTTGCCGGCTGCCGGCCGCTGCTCTGAACAGACCCAAGGCTGCGTTGTGCGCCCAACACCCCTCAACCATGCATGTCAAGCGCTTCGCCAATTGACTGTCAACCAAGGTGTCCAAACAGCACCCAGTTGGTCATTGAGGCAAGCCTCTTGCCGGAAACGCCGAAGCCACTTGTGATCCCAGACACAAGTATAAGCTGTGACATTGGAGGTTGGCTGTACGCTTCTATAGAGTCCTATATCCTGTGCCGACTATCCTGTGTCTGCAGGGAGTGTGCTGCATTTGACTGCTTCGATGTCGCTGTTGTAATGTGCACATATGACCACCCTCTAACAGACCTGGAAGGTCAGCAGGGCAGCGGCATTAGACCAGGGGCAGGGTCTTACAACAGTGTAGTGGAAAGAAGCTGCAAAACAGTTGGCAGGATGAGGCGTGTTTTTCAAGGGCAGCGCTGGCCACTTGGACAGCGGCTACCAGGGGGTGTTGACCAGAATTGTCACGGCAGCGCAGGGCTGAGGGGCGGTGGCCCCGGGCTGGTATTGTGTTGGCGCGCAAGGGCGGCCCGCCTGGCCTCAAAACGAGCAAGGGCAGCAAGAATAATCGAGTAATGTCATCATCAACGAGGGGTGTGGACGTGATGGACGGCCATTTATCTTGCATGCCCAGACGACAGGGATTCAAGCGAAGCCCCCGAAGGGCTTCTAGGGGGGAGACACAGCAAACAGATCTTGGGCCGATACAAGGCGCTACAAGCAGCCCCCGCGTGCTGAGCGGCCTGGCGCCGCCAAAACAAGGTCAGGCACTGTCATCTCGCAACCAAGGGGGAATATATGTGATCACCCGCTCCAAATTGGCAGCTGCGCAAGCACGTCCGCGCATCCTTTCGCAAAGGGATGCGGCCTCGCGCGTTGCCGGCCGCGTGGGAGTCACAATTACTCGGCCGCGATGACTACGATCTCGTCGTTGTCGCGGATGACAAACAGCTCGTCGGCCGCCGGCGCCAGCCGGATCGCGTCCGGGCCGCCGTGCGCGGGCGCGATGCCGATGGCGGTCTGGCCGCGCAGGCGGGCCGCCTCCTGCACCTGCGCCCAGCTGAGGGATACGGGGCCCTTGCCGGCCGGCGGCAGGCCGAAGCACGCGGCGCGTTTCAAGTAGACCTTGGGTGGGGTAGTTGGTTTTGGGGGGGTTGGGAGGGGCCGCCCCTGTTAGATTGATAACGTGGACACTGAACAAGAGGAGAGCACACACAAGGTAAAGCAGAGGCAAAGCGAGAGCAACGCAGCGGCGAAAGAAGATGCAAAGCAGGAGGCACGGAGCATGCTGTTGACAACATTGTATACATGGCGCGTTCCAGGATTCAGGAGTGGCTGCCTCACCTCCTGCCCCAGGTCGCTCGTGAACAGCCTGCAGCGGTGGGCAAAACAAGGGGATGGCGGCACGGGTGAGTGGGCTTGTGGGGCGATGATGTTGTCAGGGTCAGCGCGGCCCGGCAGCTGCAGGACTAAACGAGCCATGATGAGATCCAGCGAATCAGGAGACAGGGGCTTTTGCTGGGGGCTGCGAGGGGTCCGGCTCTGCCCGACCGATCGCTGGTCAACCGGCCCTGCTCACTCTGCAAAGACCCGGTTGAGCCGCGGCTCGATGGCGGCCTGGCGGCAAGGCAGAGGGGTGCGGGTTGGAAAAGGGTGTTGCTTCATCGTTATCGGCAGGCACGAGACCAGACCACAAACGCAAGCCAATGGCCAACCACACCCGAGGCTTGCCGGTTGCAGCGCCCCCCTCTCATGCTTTACACTCCTGGCAGGACAGCGTGCGGCCCACCCGCCCACGCAGCGGCCACGCCACGACTAGG